CGTCCAGAGCAGGGTCACAGCAGGTCACAGAGGAGATAATGGTGATCAGGGAATAATCTTCTCCAATAATGTCTTTCCCCCCTTTGACCTATGAGAGGACAGCTATGGCCTGATACATCATGACGGTCAAAAACACACCCACATGCACACACATGAACACGCATGCACATTTCATGCCCACACAATGTGTGGCAGTGGGGTTCCCCTGCAGCTTGGACCCTATGATTATCGGCCGTTCCACTTTATTTTCATGTCCAAGCTACCACGCATGGGCTACACACACACACACATTATAAACATCCCCTTTACTCACACACACACACTTCCACTACGCTGCCATCCATTCAGCCACTGCCCTGTACACACAAGCTCCAGGAGCACCAGGGGAGAGAAAGGGGAGTGCAAACAAACTCTCCCCAGGTCCAGAGCTCCGGTTTCAGCCTTCCGTCCATCGTGGCTGGGAGGCCATGGGAACATGAAGCGCCAGGGGCCCTGTGTCAATAAGGAGCAGTGGTTCAACACAATGAGGGCCTGCCTGCAGACAACACTGCTGACAGATATACACACAAAAGAGCCTGTGAATGGGAAGGAGGCTTGTGCACACATTCACGCGCGTGAACACACACACACACACACAGGATAAAGAATAGGGCAGTGTGTGGTTGCCCACAATGCCAGTGTTTGATGATTACTTCTTTGTGTGTACACATCGCACAGCAAACAGCAGTCTTGATGCCCACGAGGAAATAAACACACTTATAATAAACGTTTGGCTCGGCATACACCGCAAAAAACGGCAACAATGCACTCTTTGCATTTTGTCCGTTTCAGCGTAAGCATCAAGTTTGTGGATTTTAGTGCTGATCGCGTCATTTTCATGTGGTCTAAAACATGCACACTGAATGACTGACATGTGCTAAAAACTTTGAGGGATATTAAAATGAGAAATTTAAAAAGGAATGATGCGTTAAAGCAGGGATGTCAAGATCATTGTACGCTGTGGACCACATGCAGCACACTTTGATTTTAAGTGGGCCGGATCATTTCACCAAACACTGAATCTCTGAGATTTTTTAATATAAAAAAAAGAAGAAAGGAAATATAGAAAGATAAAAAGAAGAATTTCAACAATACAGCTCAGTTTCTGTACACGATAAAAGTGTAAAAGAACAGAAAATGTTCTGGTAGCTCACTGTCCAGACTGTCCTGTAATTATAAAAGTTTTTTTTAAAGTAGACCCACAATAATGAAAACAGACACTTCTATAGTAGATAGAGGAAATCAAGGAACTTTTCTGTCATTGAGCTGTTTATTTATTGCTTAATTGCTTTAGCGTTGTGTGAATGGCAGTGGGGTGGGAGTCTTTATCAATAGGAAAAGCTCTAAATCCTGTGAAAATACAGCTAGAAGTTCTAAATCTATACTCTCTTTCACATTTTCCAAAGCCTTCCAGTGTGCCGGATTGGAGTCTGTGATCGATTCAGGCTCCCAGGCCTTATGTTTGGCACCTCTGCATTACAGACTCACTGCATCTCCTCACTCAGCAGCACAGCTACCGTGCTGTTCATGATCAGTATCACTGCGTAACTGGAACAGAAGGATGACTTTTGACCAAGAAGGAAGAAATGCACAGAGAAGTGCTGCCACCTGGTGCCAGAGGGGGGAAAACTTAAACTTCATGCTCAACCGGATCCTACCAGCAGGTGGCAGCACTTCAACTTCAAAGGTCAGAACATTGCAGGATAAAACCATCTGTGTCCAGCCTCTGATAAGACTCCAGAGGACTTCTGGGCCGTGCTATCAGGCAGTAAAATTAAATAACACATGTTTTACTGATGATGGATTCTTCCAGGTATCAGCTGACCCCACTGTTTCCTGTCTTTAATGAAGACATTATTATATTGGGAGGAAAATGTGACAGAAATAAGCACACAGTAAACTGCTGACCGAACATGACCTGAAGCTGTGCAGGGATCAGTAAATCTCTGAAAATATCATGTGTTCACCAGAAAGGAGTTACCCTGACTGCCGGCTGTCTGTCAGCTGTTGTTATCCCTTAACCACAGGTGTGTCACTCCTGCTCAACCTGCTGGTGTTCAACAGTTAGAGGAAACTCATAGTTTCAACTGCTGAAGCATGCTATCTGAAACACTGACAAACCCGGCACAGCACAAGGAAAAACATAACATGTTTAAAACAAGGAAGGTCTTCCCCAGTCCCGGGCGTATTTTCCTCCCGTGTATGATCCCTCTATGATCATAACAATACTAATATCACCACAGGTGGTGCACAGTGTCCATTAAACAGTTTCTATCAGCTGTGACAATGCGCTTGGTTTCGTTTGCTCGCCTTGTGACTCTGTGTGGGTGTCATCGTGACACACGTGTTCCTGGTGACACCTGCTGTGGGAACTACCACAGAGGCGGCTCTACCTGTCTCTGGATAGCTTTTGTTAACATGATGGCATCTCATCTGTGAAAAATACAGAGATAAACCTTGACGTGAAAGCTGGGTGTGGCTGACCCACGGCACTGGAGGTCATTGGCTCCTCCACTAAAGGCCACGGCCTGGTTCCATGTCGTTCTTGTTGTTTATTTATTTTTTATTCTTTTAATGCGTTTATTTCCCAAATAAGTTATGTCATCATCTTATGTTTAAAAATACATTCACTGGCCACTTTGTTAGTTACATCTATTCAACTCCTCATGAACACAGATATTTAATCAGCCAATCAAATGACAGCAACTTTGATCACTTGCATCAATCCGGCGTGGTCACCATGCCAGATGGGCTGGTCTGAGTATTTTAGAAACTGCTGATCTATGGGGACTTTCCCACACAATCATCTCTGAAGTTTACAGAGAATAGTCTGAAAAAGAGAAAATATCCAGCGAGCAGCATGTCTCTGGGTGAAAGTGCCCTGTTGAAGCCAGATTGCTTTGAGTTGATAGGAAGATGTTTCTTTGTTGGAAGGCAACAGTAATCCAAATAAGCACTTATCACAACCAGAAAATCATCTCTGAATGCACAACATCAGAAACCTTGAAGAAGACGGGCTACAGCTGCAGAAGACCAACGGGTACCACTCCTGTCAGGTGAGAACAGAAAACTGAGGCTACAGTTTGACAACAGAAGGCATGTGGATGGCAGGGTTAGAATTTGGAGTAAAAAATGTTTCCAGCATCTTGTTGAAAACCTAAAGCACAACTGTTGTACCTAATGAAGTAGTGAGTGCATGTTTGCTAGTGTAGCTGATACCGTTCATCTTGTGAGTCAGTCTGTGTGTGCACGATTATGCCACAGTGCGGTTCTGGGGAGCAGGATCTACCATAGAGGCTGTGCAGCTTGCTCTGGTACAGATTTTGTAAACACAATATTGTCACAACTGTACAAGATGATTCATTTAGAGGTAGTAATTAACATGAAAATTAAGCTTAAATTTGAGCGTGGGTGTAAGTCTGAGAACTCCAATGTATCCCACTGCAAGACGGTCCATCAATTCATGAAAACTAAGGTGAAGCAATCAGAAACTGATTTGGTTGGGCATGTTTGTCTTTGTTGTTCAGCGCTCTGGGTTTTGAATAGATGGAGTTCGGTTTATTTCTCCGAATAGAAAAAGGATTTGGGAGGCCATCATCAGAAAACCGTAGGGGGCCGCTGCAGGAAAGAGAAGCGCACAAAGAGGTTAAAGCAATATCAAAGTTTTATTCTTAAAATGTAGTATAGAGAGGAACAGTAGTACAATTCAGACAGAAAAAAGGAGAATGTAGTTCCATCTTTGAAAACCCTTGATAAAAACGTAAAAAGAGTAACCTGAATCTGCTTTGTGTTCGGAGGGCACTGAGGCGGCGGCCCGAGTTTTGCATCACTGTTAAAGTTCGAGAGAAATTGAAAAATACAACCTTTTGCAACAGCGTAAAAAAATACAGCTGGGGAAAAAAAACCTCTGCTTTACATCTGTAGTGTTTTTGCTCTGGTTTTTTTTTTTCTTTTTTTTTCTCGTGTTTTTTTGGTGTGTGGTTTTTTTTTTGTTTTTTTTTAATGTCCATATAACAAATACAGCATAAAATCTAAAATGATACATCATAGTTTTGAGTTTCATTCATTACAGTAAAATCAGTAGGATGGTAAATAGTATCAAAAGAACAAACAAGACAACAGGATGGTGTCATGAACAAGCACACGGCGTGAACAGAGCGCGCGACAGAAAGCGGAAGGTTAAAGTTCACGGAAATACATCGCCACAGCAGGTTTGTAGCCGACTGTTAATGTTCCATTAAGTAAGTCCACTAGTTAAATAATATATTCTTCATATATATATTTATCTCATATATTCTCAACATTTTTTTTTTTTAATATATATATATATATATATATATATATATATATATATATATATCCGTAATATATCCCCTCCCACAGTGATTTGAAGGTAAAAGTGACACGAAGAGTATGAATATCTCTAAAATATATCATCTTCCACTGAGTGTGAAGGGAAGTTACACATCTTCTGTATCATCAGCACTTCAGTACTATACTGTATATTCGACTGCATACGAACAGATACTGCTGTTCCAAGGTTTTAACCCGCAAACAATCCGTGTTTCTTTAGAAAGTATGTGCTTAAAGAAATAACCAAAAAAAAAGGGAGAAAGCAAAAACATCTGTGGAAAGGAGAAAAATTAAAATATGTTTCTAGGGTAAAGTGAATGATTCTGTAGCATTAAAAACATTTAAAAAAAAAAAAAATAAAAAAAATCTCAACAATTAACAGACACGAGCAAGGATTTTTTTTTTCTTCTACACTAAGCAAGTATTCACCTGGCTTTTCTCATACATTATATTTCATCAATAATTACAAACAACAATTTTGGTTGGACAAATAGAAATTAACAGTCTTGATTGCATTTTGGAGTCATTATATATATATATATATATATATATATATATATATATATATATATATATATATATATATATATATATATATATAATATTAAATAACAAAAAAACCCTAATAATAATAATAATTAAAAAAAAGTCGCACATTGGAAGAAAACAGTTCCATTCAGACCCGCTTTTGGGGAGAAAAAACAAAACAAAAAAAACAAAACAAAACACAGAAACATAAAAAGAAAATTATTTAATGAACGCAAAAGTAAGTGCATGTCTATGAGGCGCCATAGAGCTTCACTTTTTGTGGAACAAAGTGTTTTCTACCTGGCAGACCTTAACAAAAAAAAGACATCAAATTAAACGATGACATTTCTCTATCATATGAAAAAAATGGAGTTCTTTTACACTTAAAAACATCACACACGATGATTTCTACACGCCTCCCTGACCCCCCCACCCTCACAACCAACGTTCAAGTGATTCAAAATATATAGATATACTGTATTTACTTTATACCTCAGTACCAAATATAAACAAACGGGTATGGATGTCCACTTAGGTCCTCAAAATGTCAATTGCAAGTACTGCCGGTAGTTCTACAAAAACGTTGTACATGTATGTGTGGATGTGTGTGCGCGCGTGTGTGCATTAAATAAAATTTTTTTTTTTTTTTAAATAAGCTTAAAAACAATGGCAAAGCATACCTGATAGTCGCTGTAGCACAACAGTGTTTCTATAGTTTAAGCTGATTACATATGCATAACTGAGTCAGTTTAAGCTTTATGATTATAAACATCATATATAGCCTGTAGGTCCAGTATTCTGCAACAAGCATTACAGCACCAAACGTTTCGTCATTTGGCAAAATTCAAGCTTTAAGTGAAATTCAAATGCTTTTGTATTATAATAATAATAATAAAGTGTTACTGTGACGCCGTGATTTGTGTAAAGCTAGCAATAACATTTCCCCTTGTACTTTCTTTTTATTTGTTTTTTTTAAAATCATCTTCCCCCACCCTGCCCGCTTAACAACAAACCTAACATCGTCTTTCTCTCACTCTCATCTTTTTTTTTTTTCTCTTTTTTTGTTTAAATTCAGTAGTTTTTGTTTCCTGCTTAATCTTGGTGTGCGGTCTGTTTGGCACAATATCACAGCCCTCTTAAATTAATCATAAATATGGCTGTAATACATTAGAGTCGCAAAACAGATTTTTTGGTTCCAAGATTTTGTGCAGGGAAGGAAAAAAAACAAACAAACATAAAACACAGAAAAGAATAATATTTAGCGCATATAAGAAAAGAAAAAAAAAAAAATCTACAGAGCAAGGTAAAATCTTCCTGTGGACAGTAATGCTCTTCTTCTGTGTACTTCTACAACGCACACTCAGACGCAGCAGAGAGCGACGGCTTACTACGGCTCTGCTCGCAGACAAGGAAAGAAACAATAGAACAAAACAAATTATAGAATCTGATAAGACCATAAAGACCTCTCTTCATAAATTAAATAATTAACATTTCTTTGTTTAGATTATTGGCCTAACTCAACTCAAAAACGACTTCACCCTACCAGACTCCCGCCCGCCCGTCCCGAAAACAAAAAACAAAACAGGAAATAAAATACATCACCAAAGACCTGATTCATCACGTTATTCGTCATTAAATCGTTCTCTTGTGGGCGCTGGGCCCAGAGTTGGACACATTTGAGCAATAATAAAATCTGTACATCTTGGAGTTCCCGCAAAGCTTTTCTTTAAAAAAAAAAAAAAAAAAAAATCAAACTCTTTGTCATATACTCGCACAATTAAGTAACCTCAAGGTTTGATAGCACTTTGGAGTTGATTGTTTACCAGCTAGATTTCTGTATACATATATATTAAACATCAACTGTTATTCATTTGTTTCTCAAGCTTGTTAAAAATGTATTTATTTTTTTTTTAGTCCTCTTCCGGGGCAGCACCAGCGTTGCCCTCGCCCCAATTTGATTGGTCGTTCTCAGCAGGTTCCTCGCCCTCCACTTCTTCCCCTTCCTCCCCGTCAAAGTCTTCGTCCCGAGGAAACTCGATGCCCTCCAGGCCCTCCTGAGTGGCCTGGTGCGAGTCGGCGCAGTCTGCACACACGCCGTAGCGCCGCGAGCCGTGGCGGATACCCACGCTTGCTGCGAGCATGAAGATCTTCTTGCATACCATGCACTTGTATTTTTTGTCCTTCTTGTGAACCTAGAAGGTAGACAGGGTCGATGACATGGAGTAATTCCAGTTAGTTGTTGTGTAAACGATGCGTTCACTGGTAAATCTAATGTGGACTTATGCTACTTCTCTTTAGTTTTAGTCACAATACAAGTATATTAAACATGAGCAAAGTTAATGTTCTCCTTGAGATCACCGTTGTTGCTAGGAGATAACCAAGGTTTCCCATAGGTCACAAGTGCAACATTCGCCTTCGAAGTAAAAGTTGTGGCTTACCACAAAAGTTTCAAAACTTTTACTTTGAAGGTGAATGGTCTCCGTTTCTGGTTTGAGCTGCACTTTTCATGACTCAGTGTCTTTGATGGAGACTAGGCAACTGCAGGAATCTGCCAGCTTGCTGCTAGCTGGACTAAAGCTAGCGCAAGGAGGTTTTCGGTGCAGTGGCATACATCTCAAGCAACCACTTGCCAACTGGTTGGGGAAACATTTTTCTCGGCCAGGAGGGCACTGACCCATCTTTAGGCCTTTGGGACTGGTGCCTTAGTGGCTCATTACACTTGCCACATTGGTCATGTTGTTCAGTGACGCCACTACAGCTCTGCGCTGTTTACAAAATCCTCCACATCAGCGCTTGTAGAGGAGGGGGAAAAAAAAGTGTCAAAACTGGAAGCAAAGACTTTACTGCAACATCTCCCACTGTGTAACCTGCTACTCTGAGCTTCTGTACTGAGGATCATTAAAATGGTAGTAAAAACTGACACGATTGTAAACTTGTGTCTGGTCAGCACCGACCACATCAAAAACACTGAGGTTGTGAAAATGAGGTGAGACGTGCACGCCTGGTGCCTCTAAACTGAGTTTCGGCCACTAATGTTCAATCACTTTTGCTGGACGTGACGACACAACAATGAGGATAATGGGAACTTTGAATGGAGAAAAGCTAAAACAGCTGAGGATCTGCACCCAGGCCAAGTTAAAAAGACTGATTATTTCTGAATTATGAGTCATGCAAAGCTCTTCTATTGGAAGCTATGAATAAAATATGGAGCTGAACCATCCACGTTAAGGAAAGTAATATTCTGGTAATCTCGGAGCTGATGGGAGGCTTCAGACTAATCTAGGTTAGACATTTATACGTTTCCAGTTTCTATGCTACGCTAAGCAGAGGTAAGCAGTAGCTCAAAATCTACTGTGATTAATTGGATGTTAGCAGAATCAATATTCCCATCGGACTTGAAGCAAGAAAGCAAACAGAAGTACACCCTTCAATGTCAAAGTCTTCGTCTCAGCCAGTGATTCTCAAACAGTACCCTGATGAAGGAAAAACAGACCAACACGTTTGCTGATTGTGCCATACTAGCCTTTATTTTACCAGTATTGAACTTGAATCCTTTTTTTTGTTGTTAATGATTGATAAAACCGGGGTGTGGGGTTTGGGCATTTATTTTCCAGCTACTAGGAGTGGCTCACCAGAATAACTGCTTTTACCACTAGTGGAACACAGAAACATTTCCCCTTCTTTTTTCACAACATGGAACTGGGATAATCTTTCTCAACTGACTAAGGAGTAAAGTAATTATGCTCCATCTTTAACGGGACGATGCCAGGACAATGATTAACTTGGCCTCCTTATCTTTAGATGCAGGAAATGAGGGACGATCCCACAATTCCATTTGTTTCGAATCACTTTGTGTTTGACCCTACAGTCCTCCCACCATTACAAAGTAAGATATGCAGCCAAAACGTTCTACTTCTGCACTCACTCCCTTTGAGCAAAAGCTACCAGACACAAAACACAAGGTGGAGGTGCACTGATGTGAGGGGGCGGCCAAAACGCTGTGGTGTTTGCCAGAAATTGGAGGGCGCACGTCACGTGGTAGCGCGAGAGGATCCAGTGCATATGCAAACTCACCAGGGAATGTCTCTTTACATGCTCACGGCGGGTGAACAGCTTGCCGCAGATGTCGCAGCTGAAAGAGCGCACACCTGAGTGGATGATCAGATGCCTCTTGAGTGTGCGACGGTGCTTGGCGATGTAGTTACAGTGGGGGCACTTGAGCTTATTGAGGGCTAGGTGTGAGGACTCGCCTGCGTAGAGAGAAAAACAGAAAACATGCAGATGCACAGGAAGGTCAGCAGGAGACAACATTTTGCTCAAGGAAAAGAAAGTTGCTTTAAACCAATAATGGTGAGATGGAGCAAGACAATTATCGTAAAAGCTGCATTTCCACCGAATGATGACAGAGGGGTGTGCCAGCAACCAACATCCTGTTTATCAAATCACTGAGTTAAAATGCATTACAAACCACAAACTGTAATGCAGACATAATTTAGGCAAAGCTACGCACACTGCTAAATGTGACAGATTCGCAATCCCTCTCTGTAGCTGCTGACTGGTCTGCAGGTTAACTTTACGACAGAGGTCACGCTATGGCGATGATACAAAGATCTACGTTAGGCATGAATGTAAAGCAGCACCATGGATCTATGGATCTACTGCTTGGCTCGTGTAGTTCAGTCGGGGGAGTGGGTGGTGGGGTTTATACAATTACCAGAGCACTGCAATTGAAACGAGGAGGCAAGTGTTAGCGGGCTACTAAATTAATGAGTCTCTTTATTAAATAATAAACTGAATAACGGTATGGTAAGGATAGCTACACGCTAATAACGCTCGTTAGGAGCATTAAGGCAATCTGAATAATCCATAGACACTGATCTGCCTAATGATACAGAACACACGATTAGCAAGCTAAATAAATAAAGCCTGGCTATTTTATCACTCAAGGACAAAGTCTATGTATCAGCATGTTTATTTATTTCTTTATTATTTTTATTTCAGTGTGTAAATCAATAATAATGCAGATGTCCTTGCACCCTCATTTTCTTCATTAACCCTGTGGGTATGTTTACAAGCCAGCGAGGACAGCTGGGTTTGCAAATAAATAGACGATGTATTGATTTTGAAAAGGCTCCAAACGGGCTGTCTCCACTGAGAGTGGGGTAATAGGGCTGATCCTTTTGTTTGAGCCAAGGAGCGCACAACAGAGGAGTCGTCAAGGCAGGTTGCTAAGGGGAGGAGGGGACGATGGTTGATGAGAAGCAGGTCACCTGTGTATTCACTCGGCCTGCGTGTGTTAAACACAGCACAGAAGCACCTCGGGGAAGTGCAACACGCTGTGAATTTAAGCTGCACAGATTTTGTGTAAATTCACAAACTGCCCTAAAAGTGTACATTTAAATAAATGCATTTTAAATGCAGTGATTTTTTTTCTTTTAAGTGAAAGGTCACATTCAGTAAGGTTACATTAAAAAAAAAACAAAAAAAACAATCCCTATCACACCTTTTCAGCTGATGCCACCTGACTAACCTGCCTCTAAATCATTAATCATCTATTTAAAAACAAACAAACAATCAAAGCAAAATCAAAACAGAAGATCCGTCTCAACTTTGGGAGCAATGGGAAAGAATCTAATTTAGAGTGTGCTGTGGATTCAAGTCAATAACACACAGCTCCTATATGGAATCTGGACTCTGATCTAAACTCAGTTTAGAGTCAGACGAAGTTGAAGGGATGAAATGACGGCTTCAAAATGGCTTGACAATCTTTTCCAGTTTAAAGGGAACATTTAGGAAAATGCAAAAAAGTAGTGTATACCCACTGACCTACCATTTCACACCCGCTGTATGAACTATATATATACACACACACACTACACACCCTGTCACTTATGACTGTAAGCAGTACTCTCCCCTCCTACATGTATGTGACGATGTCAAGTTATTTTGCATGTGTTAACCGTTCTGTCGACTATTCTGGTTCTCAAGAATATACTGAAATCAATTACAGCTTGTTGTACCGTTGACTGTTCAGTACTGTTGAGTCGGAGCACTGGCCATTTTCATATCCTTTATAAATAGACTGAAAGTAACACATAACCTTGTCTAAATTTGTCTTCCCATCTCACGCCTTGTTGAACACTACCTTTTTTAAAAAAAAAAAAAAAAAAGCTTTGGTTATAGCTTTAATTTAGCAGCTTTATAGATATTAACCCAAAGGACCAAATTAAACACCAAACGTTGTTGCTCATTTTTACAGAGAAAGAAGCTACATGAGACAGTCTTGTTTTCCATATGTCAGTCTAATTTGCTTAAACTTGCCCCAGGCTTTCCACATACTGTGGAAACTCAAGTCCCGATTCGGTAGAGGAACTTTTACCCCTTGGAAAGTGCCTGGACATCAGCTGATTTGAAATTCCAGGAACTTTTGGTGGAAAAGCACCTCACAGAGATCACAGGTCAGCTGCACCTTCTAAAACCAGTTGAACAGGAGTTCCTAAATGAACCCGGTTGTTTGTCTTCTCACTTGTTAAAAGAAAACATGTTAAATAGACTTCCCACACTCATTTGAAATAATGGGCATTGCACAAGAGTCACTAAATTTGCCTAAGCTGGTAATTTAGCAGTAGTCTAGAGTGTGGCATCTTACCATTCTCCCAGGACTCCCCTTGTTGTAAGTCTTGCATGATGCTATACTGGATCTGATTGGCCAGCTCTGGGAAAGGGGGAAGGGACAAGAGAAGGGAAAAAGACAGATGAGAGGTGGTTGAGAGCTGGAGGGTGGGGTGGGGAGTGGGGGCGACGCACACCTCACAATGTCTTGTGTACACAACTAACCACCCCCACATGAAACAATGGAAGTTTCAGTGAACAACATAGGCAAACACAAAGACACAGGCCCCTACTGTATGTAAAGCAGTGTGTTTTCCACCAACCAGTGCAACAAGTTAAGGAGGCTCCAGCAGGAAGGGGGTTAACTGGAGGATGACAGAGTCGAGCCCTCACACGGCTCATCTTACACTCAGCTTTTGTAAGCACTAGTGTGAGCACCTGTGTGTGTGTGTGTGTGTGTGTGTACGTGCACGTGCACGTGCACGTGCGGTTCGTAAAGCATCAACGCTTAGAGCCCATTAAAGACACACCCCTTTGTGTGTGTGAGTGTGTGAGTGAGTGAGTGAGTGAGTGAGAGAGAGAGTGTGTCTCCATTCTCCCTGGGTCAATATTTGGAATAGTGAGGACAGCCCCAGTGCATTAGAGTGGATTAGGGAGAGAAGGGACTGCCCCTTGCGGCTTTGCACCTCGCAGGGATTGGGGGTAGGGTGAGCAGTGGTGGGTTGTTTCTATGTGTGGGTGTGTATGGGTGTGCTACAACAGAGACCAGCGTGCATGCAAATACATTTCACCTGCTCTTTGTGCCTTTGCAGCACCCACCCTTTAAACAATCCAACAGTCTTGTTTGGCCAAAGAATTTACTGGCCATGAGTAATGGCTGTGGGCTTGGTGTAGGAAGAACAGGCAGCACCAGCAGAGTAACATAACCTTGAAACACTCTTCACTTTCAATTGCTCTTATCCTATTCAACACCAACCTTCCTTCAACATCAGCCGTCTTTACAACTGAACCACTGCCAAGAATTAATTGCTGCTTTTCTGAGCTTTCACAGCTCATAATTAAATATTTGAATAGTTTGGGACGTTACCTTTAACGCTAAAAAACTGACATATTTCACTAGTCAGCCCAATTTAAAGGCCAGACTAATTATGAAAAACAGGGAAATAATTGACAGTTGTTTGCAACAACGAATAATCTAAAGCACAACAAGAAGAAGACTGATAAAAAGTTACAGTTTTTATTATCCCTTTCAAAAACTGTAACAAACAAAGGCCTCCATTTGTGCTAAAATGTTTCCATCCTTGGAGCGCGACTACACAGATCAAAATGAAGCAAAATGAAAGCCAAGAGCGTGACATCACTGTGGGAAACTGGGACAGCTAGTATTGCTCGATGACTATTCACTCAAAGAGAAATATGCAAGGCAGCTAGTGCGAGAGAGCTGTGTAGTTTAAGCCAGCAGAAGAGTTTTTGTGGTGTGTACTTGTACTAATGACGGAAATGGATCATTCTAGTATTTTCTATCCAAGTATATGTAGATTTAGAAGATCATGTGACACACAAATCAAGACTGAATTACAACAATTGAGCACTGTATTCAGTACATGGCTAATCAAGGCTAGACTGTGGGAAATGCCGTCACCAACCGACCGCTCTGACAAGAAACTTTTTGTCCATAAATGGCGCTGGACAATCGAGGTGAAAAATTGTAATGGTACGGATCTTTCAATCAGACAACAGTGTATCTAAACCAATGCAGAATATCTACCATTGTGGCTGCTGCCTGTGTCTAAAATAACTCACTAGAACCACAATTTGCAAAATGCTGGCTCCAGAGATCTGATGAATTTTTTTTAGTAATACATTTATAATAAAATGAGGGGGGAAAAAAAAAAAAAACAAAAAAAACAAAACAAAAAAAAAAAACAACTTGAGGAAGCCAAATCTACTTATATAGAATGAGGACAAAGGTTAGTGATCTTCTGCAGAGTGGAGAAGTACACTCAGGGTTTTTTTTTTTTTTAAGCATCGTCACCTCCCCAGAGACAGAGGAAAACTCACCAGCTTTGTACCATTTATTAACCACTTTTAAAGATTACACAGTAGTACAAGGTACCATTAAACAGTCAGAAATAACAGGGATATGGAGGTTTCTGTCAAATAATGTCTAACACACTTGTCTTTATGGCTCCCAGAGGTCAGTCTACAGTCGTTTTACCATTAGTACCTACCAGTGTTGGGTAAGTTACTTTAAATGAGTAACTTAGTTACATTACTAGTTACTTCTATCAAAAGTAACTCATTTACTTCAAGTTACTCATTACTTTCAAAGTAACTAGTTACTAGGGAAAGTAACTTGGGTTTACTCAGAATTCTCTTGTTAATGTGTTGCTTCCGTAACTGGATACCCAGCAAGATTGCCAGTCTTCTAGCTTGCTTACTTGCCACAAGTGCACTGCGCCACCTACCAATAGAAAGGAAAAATAATGTGCATATTTCCACGAGAGAAATCCCACGCCTGGACCGTCATTGATTGCTGCCATGATTCTAGCCTACGTCACAGCGTCATGTGTGCTTTGTACATCCAACACGAAAACTGCAGTTGTGGTGCTTTCGATTGTACTCAGAACTCGGAAATTCTGCCTTCCGAATAGGAAGATGTAGGCAACACCAGACTGCAGATGAGCTGCCTGGGACAAAAAAATAAATAAATAAATTTTAAAAAAATTAAAAAATTAAAAAAAATAAAATCGGTCCAGGCGTTTTGACTAGAGACCGGCCCGCCATTATAGGAAAAATCATAAAGCCTTTGAATGAAAACAAATGCTATTGTGACAGTGATGTACACCGTTTTGATGGTATATATGCGTCAATCTATCAATCGTTTGTTGTAAGATTCAGATAAATTTTTTTTAAGAGCTAGATATTTTAAATGAGAATAAGAAAGAAAAGTATTTCTTTGTGCCCCCCTTTCCCTGTTAATGCCCTACCTGGCTCCCTGGCAAAACTTTGCTAGACCCGCCCCTGCACAGTTACCAGCTGTCAGCTACGTTAAAGGAAAAAAAAAAAAAAAAAGAAAGATCCTGGTGTTATTTGTCTCTCAGAAACAGTTCATAACTTCCCTTCAACTCATCCATGTCACCTAAAAGGCAAACCTGTTTCTCCATCACCTGTTCAGCTCTGATGATTCAGTAAGGACATCTCCTGGTTTCATCTTCATGCTTCCCTCTCACCACATATCCAAACCGACATCATGATCAGCAGTGTTTATGGCTGTGGTTCCAGCAAACATCAGCTGATACTAGAAAGTAATATTAAATAAATTCTAACAACAGCTGATCAAGCTTAAACGTGCTGCTGTTGTTTAGCGCAACATTTCCTCTTTCTGGCACAAAGTGAGCGATAAACAAACGAGAGAGAAAAGCCGATCAGCTGATCATTGATCAGTTTCATGATTGAAGTAGCAACAGGAGAGTGAGGGAGAGAGAATGAGAGAAGAAGAGACCGCTTTGTGTCTTTTTCATTGTAGCTGAAGTACCGGACAAACTGCATTCCTTTTCACCTCAATACGAAACGCGTAATATTTTCTCTGAATATGAGACGATTCCGTTTTTTTTAAACGGGATGGTTGGCAACTCTAATAATTAACCTTATGAATAAAATAAAGTTCAACATCAGAAACATCATAGCACCTACCCAGCTGTATAGAAACTCCGTCATGCTAGCTAGTACACTGTACGAAAAAGTCAGCATAACGAAAATAAACTCCACCTAAACTTGGTTTATATCTGACCCGGATAGACTGCAGGTCATAACTTCTTACCTGAAGTTCAGTTCACCTGACACCAGCGGCCGCCTCGGTCCGCCTCGCCCTTTCCCTCATCCACCTGCTGGCCTCCACCACTTGCTAATGCTACTGAATCTGTGGAAGCTCCACGATAGCCACCACACGAAGTAACGAATAACGACCCTATCTAAATCCCAGTAACGATTAACGCGTTCCTGATTTTGGCATAATAACTAGTTACTAGGGGTGGGGGAAAAAAATCGATACTGTGTAGTATCGTGATATTTTGTTTGCTAATAATGTATCGATACAGGGACAGCAGAAATCGATATTTTGTTACAAAAAAAGGGTTTTGTGCTCTGACTTCAGAGCATGTTGATCCTTTTTCTGAGCAAGAATCCTGACATTCCTTCACTGTCCAAATGTGTTTAACTTTTTTTGGCAGCAATAAACATGACAGTTTACTTATTTTAACTTAATTAAAATAAAACATGTCTTAAATTAAGTTTAAAACTTTTTTATTTTATGTAAAATTATATTTTGTTTTAATTTACTTTCAAATTCTTCAGTTGCTGAAGGGGCTGCATAGTTTTCATAAATTGCATAGTTCAGAATAGCTATAATTGTACCAGATGGTTGCATTCAGTTAAGTTGGACTAGACTGTAATACAAACCGTTCAGTTTTTCAACAATAAAACTGACTGAAATGAGAGAAAGACTGAGTGCGAGACTTTGATATTAAATAAAATGAATATTGATAAAGTTTACCTTTATGTACAGAATCTGAATATCGCAAAATATTTTAAAAAATTGCAATAATATCGTATCGTGGGATGTATGGTGAGTCCCACCTCTACTAGTTACCGTGCTCGTTACCACAATAATAACGTAGTTACTGTAACGCGTTACTTAATAACGTGTTAGTCCCAACACTGGTACCTACTCAGATCAGCTTGACGGGACTCGAGGCAGTACGACTCATTTTTCACCGCAATTAAGTACCACCTTGCGTGGGGTCGTTATAGCAATGCGGCTGAACATCCTGTGACGTCATTTGTATGTGACACGAACACCACAAAGGTGGACGTTGAGATGACATATTTAGACTTGTTCAAAACAGCTGATGAGATCAGGATTCTTTGCCAAAACTTTTGTAGTTTCAACCTCAGCTCTAATCTTCAGAAGAAGAAAAAACCCTCAGCAACTTAACTTAGTCTGCACTCTGTAGCACTACTCCAAAATGGGAACTAACACTAATACACACACAAAACAAAAAACCCCCGCTTAGAATACACCAGAACCAGAGAAATACCACAAACGGTACAATTTAACCTTAAATGAACGTTGTATCACATGTTTAGCGCACAAGCGGGCTACATTTCTTATGACCTAAAAAGAGGTGAAGCGCCCTCCTCTCCAACATCAAACAGCAGCAGCATAATGTGCTGCACATTTTAGCCTTAAATTCTCTAGACACCACCACTCGCAGATATTTCACAAAAGGCCGGCCATTAGTTACAGACGTTCAAGGTTCTTGACTGTAGTAGTTAAAGGGTTTAAGCGTCTGGATGAGGAGGTGGTTATATTTTGGTGAGCCGATCATTATTTACATTGAAAACGCAGCACATACTGCTCGACTAAAAATCTGGTAGTTGAGGTAAATGTACTGTTGGACAGAAAATATAATTTCGGGGTAAACAGCTGCCTTAAAACCTTTTTCATGTGATTGATATCTTACACAAAGCCATAAACATCTCTTTATTTGGAAAAAAGCTGTATATACTGAACAGAGACATGGAGCACACATGTTAAAAACTAACAGCTTTAAGTGAACTCTCTCTAGGCCAACACCCAGCATCGCTACACGTACATTTTAAAAGAGGCCTTGGAGGCACAAAGAGCATTCAAGTGCATTTAGGGAGGTCTGCGGGAAGAAATACTTCCCCTGCTTTCTTCATTATCCCGCATCAGGGAGGGCTTCTGTCTCTCTCACACCACACGTACATAAAATGTAGTTCTCTACTTCTTCTACACACAGTCTTCACATCCTCTTCCCCCTATCCATACCACTCCACTTAATATGTGATATCATTATGGTTAGATGGAGAGCCATGCTTAATGGCAACAAGAGATGGAGAAGGCTGGATCTAAGAAGAGATTACTAAGAGTGCTACAACGTATGCGGACTGGATAGGGTGGATGAAGGAACAGACAGAGTACAAATGTAACCAGTGTTAAACAGAAGAGAAAAAGACTGAAAGGACAGAAGATTTCAAGAAATGGAATACATGAAAGTCTCTTACAGAAACAAAAACGACCTCAGCGTTAGAAGGACAGACCTGGCAACATTAACATATCTAGATCTCTCATCTCTTAACTTTTATGAGCCCAACGGTCTGGAGTATTTGGTGAAGCCCGAGTCCAGGATTGGCTTAATTATTGACCATTCATGGCAGGTTAGATGCTTGAAAAGCACAGATTGGACTGCTTTGGGTTCAATCTGTGCTTTTATTGGGTTAGCAAGTAAGAAAAGTTTGTTACTTGATGATAAAGCCAACTGAATGTTGCTTTTGAACCACTCATGTTTCAGGGCTCTACTCAGTAATCTTCACTATATTTTTTAAAACCTTTTTGGCCGACAAATGTGCAGCTACAGACTCCTTTCAAGGTTGGAATTACTTCTAAAGCACAGTGCGTTATTCTGCATTTGGACAAAAAAAAGGGTTCGTTTACATTATTCACTTTAAATACAAGGTTTTAATGTGTCATGTGACTACCAAGAGTGCAGAGATGCTTTACAGCGGAGGACAAGAGCTCGGTCTGAGGCTCCACTGTGTGTTGTAGGAGTTTCTGACAGAAGGAGTTTGTCAGGCATGATGGGGGGAGGGGTAAAGGAAGAATATAAACACTTACACAAGAAACAAAATTTCTTATGCTAATTACTACTTAGCATTAGCTATAAAGGACAATCCACATATTCTCACATCTCATAGCAAGACTGTTGTAAAGTTGAAAAGGCGTGTTAAATGTGTGTCTTACCAGCATTTTCGGAGAGCGAGGAGAAGTCCTCTCTGGGGTAGGAGGCTGAAGGCTGGATGAACATCCCCTCATCAAATCCCTCTTCAGGCTCTGGTGGGAAATTGTAGACAAACCGCCGTGTTGTAGCTTGTTTTTTCCTCCGTCCACTTCCAGCTGCAGCATCTGGTGCCTCTCGCTTTATTGCTGCGGGTGATGCGGCCGTGCCGCCTGTGGCTGGCTCGTTCCAGACGAAGACCCGCGTCTGGCCACTCGTCGCCCGCATTTCATTGGTCTCTGCTGAATCAGATGAGTTGTCGTGGTGGGTCCAGCTACCAGAGGCTCCGGGGGTTACCAGGGCACAGCCCTCACCCCCGACCACTGTCACCTCTATATCACTCGTCTCCTCTTTCACGCGGCCATTTTCGTCATCTTCTTCCATTGCCTCCTTCCCTTGATTGCTGCTGGCCTTGATTGATAGCTTTGACAGGATGCTTGTCGCCCAGAAGTTACTTGGCTTACGGTCTAGCCCCCTTTGCCCCTCTTTGGCCACCATCTGCCTCTTGTTGTAGTCCACCACCACGGAATCGGGAGCTTCTTGCTTGATGCTGATGTTCAGAGCATCCTTTATAAAAGCCCTACAAGAATGTACAACCTCTGTCATCTGGAGGTAACTAGCAACTGACATCACCTCAATGGCATTTTGGCTTGTGAGCAGCAGATTCCCAGAGTAGAGAAAGTCGAGGATGACCGAGAAGCCCTGCACAGCAGCAACATCTAGGTGTGTGACCGTGGTCTGGTCCTGGGTCTCGCTCTTGGTCAGACAGTAGAGGGTTTTGAAGTAGCGGCTGCCTGCGACCAGTATATTTTTGTGCGCGCGGAACACCTGGCCCGAGACGACAATGTTGACGTCACAGAGGATGCCACTTTTGCGTTGCTTGTCCAGCTCTTGTAGAAGCTGGTAACAGTAGGAGTTCTCGTTGGGCTTGTTGCGGTAGTCTTCCTCTGTGCAGTTAGTGGAGGGGCTGGTGTTGTCCGAGGGCCTCAGTGTCTCCTTTTAAGCAAGAAGGAAGAAGAAAAAAAAAGTATTTTAAAAAACTGTGTGTGCCCACACAAGTAATTTGCAAGCGCAAGCATAAATGCAATCGTACACAAATGTTTTCCCTTCCTGTAAGTCCTGTCTTTACAAAAAACAAATACACCCACTGGGTTCCCAACGACACTGTTGCACCTGTCCTGGGGGTGAAACTGGTTTGACAGGCTGCTGTTAACGGGGAGGTGGGAATGACGGAAGGCAAGGTCCAGTACTTTAAGGCTAGGTAACACACTAATGTCAATGTGTTTTCTAAACCAAATTCCACAGCTGCAAATGTAAACATAAAACACAACCACATATTAATAAACACGAGAAATGACTGTATTCAACCATCACAAACAAAAGTAACACATCTTATTCTATGTACCAATAGAATGCCTGCAAAAACCTGAACATGACGCCATATTTGAGCACGATGGCATGTTTGTTCAGCTAAAGCAAGCGTTACAAAAACTTAACACGTTTCTGAGGTAAGCATTAGTGACCAATCAGGCACAGATCAAGTCAAATATCTGACTGATTCAACTCCTGCCAGATGTTGTGTTCCAAGTAAGCGGAAAACTCAAGGACTGAATGAAAGTGCAAATAGAGAATACAGTTCCTTGAATGGCCACTAAAGACTGGCTCAGTGAGAGAGACACACGTTAAATGCCTGTATTAAAATGTTGACATGTATGGAATGAATTTTCTTTTTAATAACTTGAATAATTTCATATTGATAAGGCTTAAAACCATGGTTATAGTCGCCATGACTCCCAGGTGTTAACAATACACCTCCTGAAGTTCCCCTCCTTAGGGTACGTCCCCACTAGGCTAGCCCTGATAGATTTGAAAACTGTGTTTTCATCTGAAAAGGCTCCGCGTCCACACCAGCGTTTTCAGTCATTTTCACAGAGTTGTGCGTCCACATTGAAACGGCCCAAAACGCTTACGTTCCAGTCATGCGCAAAAGCCATTGAGAATTAAAGAACTTGAAGAAACGCTATCTGGAGCAATCAAAACAACCGCTGTATAACGCACTCTGCTATCTTTGTTTATTTGGTCACGTGACTGCGTCACATGACTAAAATGCGTCATCGTTTTAGAAAGTCTGCGTTTTCGTGTGTCCACACTGCGACGGGACAGCTGCGTTTTGAAATGTATGCGTTTTTGAGAGTGTTTTCCCTTGAGGAAAGCGCCATCTTAGTGTGGACAGGAGGTCAAAGCGGAGAGAAAACTGGACGTAGCCTCAGTCTTTTCTCCTTTTGGAGATTCTCAATTCAGTCATTTCAACAATTAACATGACTTACTTAACAAGTGTGTCTCAGTTTTGGTAAGCAAGATTCTACCCTTCTGTTGTAGGAGATGTGTCTCTGCAATGAACCTACACAATCTTTGAAATCAGCTTGCTAACTGTAGCATTAGCTGATAACTTATCAGTCCACCCTTTCACCTAAACACGGTCACTCCCGGCCTCAGAAAGAAAAAAAGATGGCGATGGCTATAAAAGAAAAAAGAAAAGTAGAGCCTTCAAAATGCAGAATCTACAAACCGATGGGTGAGATCACTGCTGCTACATTAGTCTTTTAGATACAGACCGTGGTTTCAAAAAGGGAAGAAAACAAACACATAACATTAACACTACACAGAATGAAACAAATGGACTTTCAGTGACCCTATATACACTCGCATGGATAAGAATAATTCTGGATTAAGACCTCTATCCATTTGTATGTCCTGATAACACAGTTTGAGGCACCATTAAGAAACTAGCCATAACTGTGCTAGGAGCATTTTTGAAATGTCTCAATGTCTTGAGTTTGTTTTATTTTTTTCTCCCCCTTCATTAAAACATGTTTTCTTTCCATTTATATTCTTTAGTTAGTTTCTACTACAGATTCACAGGATTCAACGTTTTGCACATATTCTGTTTCTAAACAACTAAATTCTGTCACTTGATGAACAGGAAATAGGCCATAAATAGACCAGGAGGCCTGAGAAGTATCCAAAACAAGCATGGGAGGGGTACAGGCAAAGGCATCAAACCCCACTCACCTGGAAAGAGTTGAAGGGCAAAGAGCCCGACTAACACAGAGCAGGAGAAAGAGGTGTGTATAGAGATGTGCATGCATATGCTTAATGCAAACGTCACATAACACACAGTCTGGGGTGAAGTAAATGCATATATACTCACAGACAAAATACAATGCGCCCCCCTCCCCCCAAAAAAGTATGTATGTATGTATGTATGTATACACACAAAATCATAAACCCAGAACATGTATGTCAGTTTTCCCACATGATGTACACAAGCAGGGCATATATCTCTGGCTCATTTTAGAATTGCAGAGCAGATGTCCTAATCCAGAATAATTCACATTGCTCAAGCCCTGCATTTTTGCCCCCACCCATCACCATCTCGCCGGCGCGCGTGCACATCCACACACAAACACTGCCTACACGTACAGCTGGGGTTTCAGCTCGAGTAATTCAGATTAAATCCATTTCTCTGAGGTCCCCACCCAGCCCCCACCCACCACCCCTACTCGCTCCACACTGCAGCTCTTGTCCAGGGCAGCCTGGTCACAGTATAGGGGAGCTTATCATCCTCTGCCACAGCTGGAGGGAGAGAGATGGGATGGAATAAAACGAAAGGCAGAATGAGGGAGAGATAGGAGGGGTTGACTTTGCAGACCACATAAATAAATAGAGGATGCACAGATAGAGCACATTAGGAGACAAGAAAGCTGCACTGCACCATCCTGGTGGGGAAAAAAAAAGCAAAAACGTAGAAACAGAACTGACAGAAATATATGAAAAGAAGCTGAGAATGTGCTGATAACACACACTCCAAGAAAATGAATAAAAGGCTGAGCTTGAGAGAGCAGTGAGAGACAGGGCGGAGGAGAAAATGTCGAGCAGAGGGGGACAGAAAGCGAGCGTGATAGAGAAGGAGTTGGGTCACCCCATTTTAGCCTTCACAATAGCTCGTGTTCTCCCCTAGGCTTATTGTCCACTCACTGTGGGCCTTTGTGAAAAGGCTCGGCACTCACTCTCTTATTACACAGCAGCTCCCACTTGCAAGCATAGAAAGGAGCCATGGTGCATGTGGGTGAGGCTAAGAGGATGAGGAGAGAGGGAGAGAAATTATTCCATGATATACACATCAAAGCCTGTGGAGGGGCACGGTTATCATGTTGAGTACTATGGGTGGGGTGGGGGTTAATATAGCGTTGTGGTGACAGGCAGGAGAGCGATCGCAACAAGGGGAGTCGGATATGCTTTCAACTTAGGTTGTCAACACTCATGCTTGTTTGTTTTTGCCCAGAGTTTTCAATTTTCCACCTAACAGCATGAAATAAAATAACCTTAATGACAACTTCAGGGCTCAACAGACTCAGAAAATAAATAAATAAAAACAAATACATCTCAAATACCACAAATAAACCAACACCCACAAACTTGCAGACTGCTTATCATTTGCAGCAACTAACCATCCCGCTCCCAAACACCCTGACTCCTCTCAGCTTTTATCCGGGCTAAGTTGCTCCATACTGGCTTCATGAGCAGCATCATTCTTTCTCCAGATGTGCCATGTGTGAGATGGGAGCTTAAGAGAACCAGCAGATCAACCCTGCACAGCAGATGCTGGAGGCAAAACCAGCTTGAGCCAAAAGAGAATGTGGGGACAATATCAGCCTCCCCCAGTCATGACGTGGCTGGGTTTTTATTTGAGCCAGAGATGCCAGGGGTGGAAGAATAAAAGGCAGAAAGAGAGCACAGCATCCAAGAGGGTGCTTTGATCTAGGTCAAACATGAATGCTTCAAAATCTTACAGTGAAAAGCCAATAACTGCTGATTTACAGGTGGATTAAACAAACCAAGATGGTCATAAACCCGAGCCTTGATGCTCTGACTGCTTGTAGAAAAGAATACTTCAACAAACTCAACCACAAACCCAAACAAACCACAACGCCCCCAAGGCCAGCAGATCCATGGCAAACACTCAGACACACCTCCAACAGATCATGTCATACAACAAGGTCCCCTTGAAACATAATAACCCACTGGAGCCAGTTTTTGTTTACCTTTTATGCACACATGTTTGCCTCCGTCCCCTCACTTATACCCCACCACCCTCCATCTATCCAGTCCCATGACCAGCCCAACCCCGAGGCCATCTCCACCAGTCTTTCACTAACTCCCTCCATCTAGTGTATCCTTCACTCAGCCCCCCCTTTCCTCACCCAACCCGTCTGTCCCCAGATGCTAGAACAATACTGCAGTGTGCATTTGGCCCAAGGTGTGGGAGGGCTGCACTAAGCGAGTCCCTGCCTCCCAACAATGCTAAAGAGCCGGGGGTGTCACTGACAGACTCAACGAGAAGAATTCTCCCTCCGGCTCCTCCCCACCCATTCCCCTGACCTGCGTCCCCCAATAAACACCCCCCTCCCGCGTATCCACCCCGGTCTATCTGCTAGGCACCAGGCTGGCAATAGGCTGGACCCCTTATCCCTTGTGGGAACACTCAATCACAATGAATATGGTGTTTGTCTAGGGCTACAACAAGAATTAAAATCTGAATTTTTCAGGCCAATATTAATGTCATCATTTCTCAGAGACTTTGGGAAAAAAGCATTTCCTTCAGCTTTAATTGCAATTCAACAGAAATTAAACAAATAATGAAAAGAGAAAGAAATACGACCCGAACTAAACGTGTCCCGGCCTGCAGGAAGGGAAAGTGGGCTTTTAGGGAGCAACAAAACTAAAAGAAAGTGTGTGCGGTTGAAACACAAGAACAAGAGAGACACTGTCAAATAATCATTTTATCTCCGCTCTTTATCTTATTTCAATAATCGTTAGAAGCCAAAATTATAACTGAAATTAAAGTTTGATTAATGATGCAGCCCTATGTTTGTCTCTACTAAAATGACAGGATGAAAATTACATATAAAAAAGAAGCCTAAACATATCTTAATTTCCCTTTTGGAGAATTAAGTGTAGTGATATCATCTTACACCCTCATTTAGACCAACACAGTAGTGTTTGTTTGGCCATCAAATCAAATGGGTCAACATACATCATCTGACCTGACTACAGCCGTATCCTGAGCTGGTTCGGGCACATATCGCTGATCTCTGGTGAACAGGCGAGATGGGGATTAAATTTGTCATTTATACTCAACAACAACAAAAAAAACAAACAACGAAAACAAGGAAGTAAATGAGGGGTAAGAGAGAATGGCTGTCAAAAACTTGGTGTGACAAATGACAATTACACATCTCTCTGTGTCATCATGTTAAGAGGAATACCAGCCACATAGTCTCTGCACACAACCATGACAAGGAACTTTCTCTATCACTCTGTAACATCTAGAGTGGGTTTAACACACCCTCAGCCGCCCTCCTTTAAATACGTATTAAAAGAAGTGTATGGACTGCCCATTTTTCACCATAAAAAATAAAACTTTTCTGAGAATTTAATTTAATTAAAATGGTCGTACATATGTGACTTCATATCTAATCTCAGAAAACCTTGTCTCCTTTTGCCTCCGTTTACCCTTTTTTCCCCCTCTAGTGAGCACGGGGAACAATCTGACCATAAGACAGCATCTAGAGAATTAAGGACAACGGCCCCCTTCTCCAAGGATACCCACATTTAACACAGCTGCCCTGGTGTGCTACAGATAATTGAATTAGGTTTAACAAATGCAGCAGAGGCCTGACTAACATCAGGAATGGGTGAATAGAACAAGACGTTGCCTCATAACACCGTAGTTCCCCTTTAATGTACTGCTTCATAATGCTGTCTCGCTTACACTGCTGCCTATTATTTCAGCAGTACTGTGTTTGCTGTTTTGTTTACTTTAAAAAGGCAGACCAAGTTGAGGAAGCATAAAAACAAAAGATAAATAGTTCAGAAAAAAGAAAGAAGGCTTTAAGCTTTAATTCAATCTTTATCTACTCAGCTATAACCATTTATGAGGAAATGGCCTGAAAAACCTCTCAAGACAGCGTCTGGGGTCCTTGTTGCTAGGGAAAAGCCTCACCAAGCCCCTAATCCACTCCTAGTGCTCTCCTTACCAATTAGAGATGTGTACAAGTTAGTGGATCACTTTAAGTCATTCTGATTAGTGATTGCGTGTACAAAGGAAGGAACTAAATGTAGTAGTACAATCCTCTTCACTCACAAATCACAGACAAATAGCACACCGCTCTTAATTCTCGTGACAGCCCAAGCCATTCTCTGAATATGAGGTAGGATGTGGCAATTTAAAAAGGAACTGAGCTCCCCCCCTACTGTAGGACTAATAAGAAAAATGTCCTTTGACACCGAACTGTACAGACAAATCTGCCCTCCCTGTTTTTATGAGGTCACTAAAAGAGTATTGTAGAAGTGTTGCTTAAACTGTAATAAAAAAATGACGAAGCAATAAAAACATCTCATGGACATCAATAAAGGCAGTTCACATGCAATAAGACGTGAGTGTTTTGAATTTAAAAAAAAAAAGGCATTCAAGAAACTGATACCCAATTATACCTACATCGAGCTTTAGCTAACTACACACTCTTTAAGTGCCTATTAAATAAAGTGGAGTCATTTCCTGTAAGTATGACCCGTGGTTTCAGTCGTCTGCAAACAGGATAAGCCTTTAATCATAAGATATGCCCCAAAGTTATAGCCAGAGCCCAATAATCCAGAAATATGGATGACAGGCTCAGGTGATGCTGTGTCATCCTATTACTGACATCTATTTTCACTCTTTCAAACCTTTTCAAACGCTGCCTCTGGGCAAGCAAGATGTCACGCTCAGGGAAACCTGATTTACTCTCCCCTCCTTGTCCAGCACTGCAAGTGACACCATCTATGGATTTTGGGGGGTCATTCTCGCACAATGCCTCTAATTTAGCTCCCTAAAGGGAGGCGGAGGTGGAGGAGCAAGAAATGCGCCAGAGGTCACCCGGGACAGAGAGGCAGCAGAGCTGCATGAGAGGCGGGGGGTTGGGTAAGGGGTGCGGTTCCCCGAAGGCTGCCAGGGTCGAGCCCTTGCCATTGTGCGACCTCTAGCAAGCTAGCGATCAAGACTACTGCTGGTGAAAGGACTAGCTGCGATGTACAGTGAACATCTAAAAGTGCTCCACAACACCTTCACTGTCCGATATGTATCCCTTCATTTTCGGCAGTTATCGGTGATTAGCAGTTAATTGTGACATGCAATTAGTCACTTGACAACAAACAGCCTCCGGAGCGATATTAGCTAGCAGGTGTCAAACTGGAGCAGGTCTTTAACTTGCCCGGTGAGTGGGCACACAACAGTAACTTGCATAGTACAATATATTTTGAAGTGCTTTTGTTTTTCCACTCTGTCACCCCTTAGCTTCGGTACAGGGGCTTTCCAATGCGGCCACTGGTCACCTACCTCCGGCTAAACAGTAAAGCCGCGGGCGGCTTGTGAAGCTAGGCTAGACATTAGCTGTGGTCGTTAGCGCACACCGATGCTAACTATTTAGCCGGGAGAAGGGATTGTGAAGCTTAGGTAAAAGCTCATTTTCCTGCCAGGCTGCGCTTTACAATTTGAAGTAACTTCTATTATGTGTGACAGAAAAGGGAAACAGGTAATGACATTAAGGTATACCGACGGTGTGACAGGTATTTCACGTTACGTAGTTAACTAAACGAAAGCGTCGTGGAGTTGGGCTAACGTTACCTGTTTGGTGGGATCGTTTCTCCCGTGCTCAGAAGACAGGTGATGTCTCAGCAGCAAGGCCCGCTTGTAGTTGCGACTGCCTTTGACGAGCTCGTCGCTGTTTTTAGTGGCAATGTTGTGACACCAGGAGCACGACATGAGTCCAGTCTCCTGGCAAAATTTGAGCCATGGAAATTCTTGCAACCACGAAGCGTGGAAAAGCGAGTGTTTCTGAAGCAGCGTCTGCGGTCTCATCTCTACCCCAGATTTCCTGGATCCCGTCTCGCCTCCCCTGGCAGTCTCCTGGCCGTCAGCGCTGTTGCTGTGACCGTTCCCCGCAACCCAGTTTTTCCCGTCCCCGGACCCGTCCTCCGCTTCCACCGAGTCGACACGATCGTCGCCCTCCGCAGCTGCCCGACTGCCCCCTTCCGGGTCCTCTTCTTCCTCCGCCTCGGGTTCCGTGCTATCGCTGACAGATCCAGCGCCCTCCACTCTCTTCTGCGATGGTCCTTTCGCCCCCAGATCCCTGTCCTCCTCTTGATCCGGCCTGTTCCCGTTAAAATGTCGATCTTGACAGGCCGGGGCCTCCCAGCTGTTACAGTTCCCCCCACCGATACCGCTGGAACCCGTTAACCCAGCTAATCCACCTCCTCGGAAAGCCAGCGACCTGCGGTTTCTCTCACCGGACATTTTTTTTCTTAATATATGTTAGAATCTTCACTTTCTCAACAGTATTCCCCCTCCTCCGATTAAAATGCTGTGTTTATAACCGATGTGTTTTCCGAAAGAGATGGACCGTCGTCGTTTCTGCGCTCCGCTCGGCCCTCCCGGTGAGAGTATGTAGGTTATGCGGAAATAAATAAAGGTTTTAAACGCATAATGAATTTCAGGGTTCTCGCTGCGTCCGCGCAGGCCCCGCAGAGGTCGAATGGCAACGACTTTCCTCCCCACAATGCACCTCGACCAGAGGGGCGGGGGGGAGGGACGCGTTGGTGGTAGTGGTGGTGGGGGGTGGCTTTTTAAAGGAAGATGACGGGGGGGTGTAGATCAGCATGGGGTCTTTTGTGCTTTAAAAAAAAGCACCCATTTTCCGCATGCTTTTCATCTGATATCTGTTTGTTTTATTAGACCGCAAATGTCAAATCACATTCCTCACGGCGGGGTGTCCCAACATTCACGAATGTCTGCAGTAGGAAACTTGTCGGGTGTCTTTTTTATATTATCCATTTATTTACTTTTTATTATAGTGAATATATGTATTATACATAAATAAATAAAGGTTGGCATTTGAATATAAAGAAGTGGGGCCAATAAATATACATAAAAGCATGTTAACCGAGATATTTATTCCAAACAAAATTGCTTACACTACACTAATATTAAGTCAAGATTCGACATTCAACACCACAATATTCCCTCTGAGCTTTATGTGGTGTGTGTAAGAATGTTGCCTTATATTTTGTATGTGCTCGAAGTACATTTTCATTTGTGTGTTTTTTTCCAGACCTCCTTTGTTGAGTTTGCTGATGCATGTTGAACCCTAAAACAAAGGTGTTATTCATTAACTGAGATTTTGTATATATATATTGAAACGCGCGTGTCTGAAATAAAGTCACGCAATGCGTTTGGACGCGAAGCGTCATTCTCTGGAGACTCCAGCCTTGTATTCTCGCGTATCTGCTCGTCTCCCACTCCTTGTGATCAAAACGAAATCCAGTAGGTGGCACTCTTTCATCTGAGCGTCTTTTCTCACCCTCAGTGTGTGTCACATTGCTTGGTGTATAGTTTCATTGCTTCCCAATTAAGAGCTTTGCACACACAGCGTGTGAACAAGAGTGGGAATTAACCCGGGTTTGGATGACAGTAACGTGGAGGATTGTATATCCCACAGGAGTGGGTAAATCCCCGAGAAGAAGACAAGGAATGTTTTGTATGGCTAGTGTGTGTGTTTATTCATCTAGCCCGTACACGCTATCAGCTGGAAAATAAAAATATAATGGAACTAAAAGGAAAAATAACTGAAATTCCTTCGATTCTGTCATACTAAAATGCAGTGTGTCATCTCGCATCAAATGAACAGCAGGCCTCGCAGGTGGCAGTGAATTCTGTCTCAGCAGAGCAATGACTGCTGTATCTTTAAAATTAGAAATAAATCTTGAATTGACTTGATTGTAAATGGAGGTTAGTTTGAGCTTAAGAAAGATATGCTCAAAACAATATTTAGCCGAATATATATAACTCTTAAAAAGAAACAAAAAGAAGAAAAACAAAAAAGAAATAGAAACTAATATTTAAGGCAGCCATGATAAAAATTGATATTGATATATAATTTCATTCTTCCTGTATATGCTGGAGTTACATGATGTGGAGCAGCGGTATTTTCCTCACTATTAGTATTACAAATAAAATGATAATGATTTAAAAGCCCGATTTAACTGGCTTTTCTTTAAACTGATTTAACTGGCACCAGAAGCAACAGGTTTGCATGTGTCATAGTCTTCTTCGCATTTTACCTGACACTGTATCTGTAAGAAAAAATAAAACAACATATATATACTACTACACTATTGCAGATATATATACATTTTACATATACATACTCTTGTTGTACAGTAAAAAACAAACAAACAAACAAACAAAACAGAAACACAAGTAATGACGTGTCCTTGTTGCGCAGCTTTGCATTGTTGTTGGGCTAAAACTTGATCCACGTGCTTGCTTCTGTTTACACTGCTGCGTGCTGACGTCACCGCGAACCCCACCCCGCACGGCGGGCTGCCTGGCAACATGAGGCAGAGAACAGGAAGACCCACAGCAGGAAAGTGAACAACCTGAGGACCCTGAGTAGAAATCGACGAGAAACAACGCTTTGGACGGACAATGGAGGATGCAGACAAAGGTAATTAAATCATCGACGCGTGCCAGTGTCGTAATAGATGTTTTAAAACTACTTTTTCCTTAGAGAAAAGTTAGCGGACTAGCTAACTTTGTGCTGTGACTCAAGTTAGTTCGTTGAGAGCATATGCTACCTCTCGCCATACGAATAAAGTGAGTTATTTTTGCGACGGACAACAGTTTGAAGAATTTGAATAAGAAAATAACTTTTTTTCAGCAGCACCACTGCAACAGATTTCTAGAAAAATGACACGGAAGTGCGGTGTCACGCCACAATTTGTTTTTTAACCACCCATTAACTTATTAGGTGAAACCATAAACGCACATTTCAGTTTTTGTGTGAGTTAAAAACCTTGACAGGCAGTGAAGAAAAGCAGTAAAACACTAGTCAACAACATATTTTGTAACTAACGGCGTAGCCTGTAAAAATGGGTTACACCTGTTTGACAGCTCACTGCTATAACTAGTTCAGACAAGTCACGCTGTGCTCTTATGCTCTTTCAAATGGTTTTTTACACTGAAAAAAAAGTTTTATTTTGAAATTTACGAACACTTATTCTGTGCCAAAGTGGTTGTGAGTTGTGGGTTTTGCTGATTTTTCTCGTGCCAAACTATAGCACAGTTCAGTTAACCACAGGTATCCTACCTGCATTTCTGTCTTTCACCTCGTTACTCTTCCTGCACGTTTGCTTTCCTATCAAGCAGCTGTTCTGCTCTCTTATGTACTTAAACACAACTGCTCCTGTCTCAAGTCCATATGTCTTTGCTGGAGTACAGAAAAGTCCACATTTGCACACAAAAAAGCTTGTATGTCCAACTTTTTGTGATTTTACTCATAAACAGCATGATCCATTCTTCTCTGATCTTTGTGTTATTTTATTCTACTTCATTTGCACTAAAGTGTTTGTGGAAAGAAGCAAAGCATCTGAGTTTTATTTGTTCATTTAAAATGTCATGTTGGAATTTTTGACCAAATTTCCCTGCAGCACAAACAGCCTTCACCCTCCTCTGGGTTCTCAAAAGTAATTTTCTGATGGTTGAAAGTTGTTTTGTGTGGGGGTTTTTTTTTGTTTTTTTCCCCCTTCTTCTTCTTCTTCTTCCCTTTTTAATAACGCAGAGCGAGAAAGCCAGAACAAATGTTGCATATGAACACCAGAATTATTGATGTAACTGGTTCCTGATTGATAATTTGTGCTTCTCCATATCAGAAGAAATGAGGTGTGTTTCTGCATCACTTTCTGTGTTGCTGCCAGTGGACACAATAGAAAAGAATGCTTTACTTGGCTTTAAATGCCACGCTTGTGAAGCCCATTCCTGAATTAGAGTTGCAGGTCCTGAACACATCCTTAAGTAAATGGTATCTTAGTAACTGTTTGATCTGGGTTCTCTTTGCTCATAAAGGTTTCTTGTGGTATGCTTTGGAGGGTTTTCCCTTCCCACATGACATGTTTTTTCACTGTGTGCGTGCGGCGGATGCACCAGTTAGATATCTTGTCTTTTAGTGGTTTTATAAGTCATTGCATGTGACCTTAAAAAACACAGTTTGAAAAAAGGTGAATGCCAGATTTCTTTTAAGGCCGTGCACACTTGCACTACAGGCTATTGTTCATCAAAATCGCAATAAAACAGGCCTGTACCACAAGTAATCACAAGAAAGTGAAATTGCATAGTTATCAGATAAAGGGGAAACTCTTTGCCAATCTCTAACTTTACTGCAGCCTTGAGGTGGTGTCTGTTTACCTCTCTAGGCAGCAAAAGTAAATGATCTGCCTCTCGAGATGTAATTTTATCACCTTAAATATCATCATAGGAACTGCTGTGCTCTCTGAATTTATAGTCGCACTGCTGTACAGGCAGCCAAGTTTGTTTCAAGGTCAGACTTTTGGTATGGTAGCTGTATTTTACTACCATCTGTACCTGCATCCTCCTCGTAGAAGTTGAGACCGCTCAGTGACAAGTATTTGCTTGCTTCAATACAATAATCTCCCTTTACGTTATTTATTTATGTATTTATTTTAAGGGAGGGTTTCATAGGTTAGATGTTTCAATCCTTTGACAGTAATTCAGGTAAAGCATTTGCAAATAACTTGGTGAACAGGTTTTTTGCAGGACCAAGGTCGGAGAGTGCTCTGACTGGTGCCTCTCAAAGGAGTCTGCTCTCCCCTGATTGTGTGTCTCTGTGCAGATGATCTTTGGATAACAAACTTGTCTGTTTGTGTCCTCCCTTTTTCTTGCAGTATAATGTTATTTTTTCCATAGTGAATGTTTTTTTCCCCTTAAACTCAGGTTCAGTGAAATCTGTGGTTGACTCAGATGTGCCTTATGATCTTGTTAATCTTGATTTGTTCATCAACATTTATAGATCTTGAATAGACTACAAAGAGGTTATTGGTACTCTGATAGATGCCTGAACCTAAACGCCTTCTCACTCAGTCATATTGTTCCAGGTCAATGTCAAGGACTGTAGAAAGTTTTTGTACTCCAGACTAACTTTTATTGTTGTTTTGAATGTTGCCTGTTTCATTTTCTGCATACAAGCTTGTGGCTTGAATCAGTTCAGAAAGGACGTGGTCAGGTTCACCAGCCCGTGTTGTTTTTCAGCTACCGGTCTAATGAGATTGATCAGGAGCAGAAGCCAACATTTTTTGGCGTTATTAGATTTCTGCGATGCACAACTGTCTGCTTTCAGCTGTCAGAGGAAGTCTCTCACAAACAACATCCCCACCCCAGTAATGTAGATCCGGTCGTTTGAGCTGGAAATACATTCAGCACAGCCAAATCACACTTTAAAAGCTGCAAACACTGCATGTGTTTATGTAAAGGTTTGCTATGATTTTTTTCAGTCATGCCAATAAATGTCATATTGGGCTACAAGCTGTGTCAGTCTGGGCTGGACCTCCCATTTAGTGAAAACCAGATGTGTGTTTACCAAAACCATTAGTATTTGAAGTCTACTCAGAAATACACCTGTCAGCAGTCATGGCTGTCGTAGATCATTTTCAAAGGACTTTTGGAAGGGTTTGATGTATGCGAGAAGCTGTGGCCTTGAAAGCTGTAACTTTGAACGTTGGTGTCGCCA